TCGCGGAACCTCGCTGCCATAACAACCCTCCGGAAAACCTTCCTATCATGAGCAAGATGTCCTGCGTCTGATACACCCATCTGGAGATCATCTGCCACATCCTGCACCCATCTTCTCCTTGGCCTTCCTCTTCCTCTCTTCCCAGGCATATACCCCTCCATTATTGTTCTCTCTAGACTTCCATGACGTTTCAAGTGACCAAAATATTTCAATTTTCTTTGTTTTATTGTCTTTACTAGCCAACCCTCTTCAATATTCAGCTCTTGAAGTATGGATGCATTTGTTCTTTTCTTTACCCAAGATATTCTTAGAACCTGCCTGTAACATTTATATTCAAATGCATTTATGCGCTTTTCCGCTTGTTTAGTAAGTGTCCAGGTCTCACAGGCGTATGTTGCAATGGGAAAGATGCATGCTCTTAAAAATCTGACCTTTGTAATTCTATCTGTACAATTCCATAATTTATTCAGTTGTTTTAGTCTTTGAAGAGCAATTGATAGTCGCCGTTTAATTTCTTTCATTGTGTCACCATTGTTGGTAACCAGTGACCCAAGATATTCAAAATTTTTCACCACTTCCAATCTTTCCTCATTAACATATATTTCCTTCTCCATGGCAGTTTTGTTTGTATGCATTATCTTTGTTTTTGCTATGTTAAGAAATAAGTTATGATTCACTAATAGATTAGAAAAAAAAAAAAAAAAAAATTAATTTAGAATAAATAAAATAATAAAAATATAATAGTAGGGATGCTAGTGAAGTTTTATGTTTTGGGTTTTTACTTACGAAACAATGACAACTAGATAGAGATTAAAATTACAAATCCAATAGTACCTCATTTAAGCCTGTAAGTCAATTCTAAGCGGAGATATTAAAATTTTAGTGGCGGATACCATCACAAATTATAGTGGAAATGGACAAAACATGGATTCCCGGCTGCGACCATCCAAGTAAGATGAGATGACTCAATGTTTGCATTTTATGGCCATAACGTTTGTTTCTGAACGAATCCCTTAGCAACCATATATTGCTGGAATTGGGACAGTGAGACCTAACTGTTTATGCATGTCTCAAATACATACACTACAATATGCGCCTATTTAACATATGAAAATGGCCGCAGGCTGATTATTTTTCATCAGAAACCTTATACATTTACAGTTGTCTGCCAACGAGCCTGGCGCAGTACACATCATATTGTGTGTCCCGGCAAGGCGAACATAAAAACCATATAAATATGCCAATATCAGTTGACGTGACCTAATTAACATATAAAAACTGCCGCCAACTGCGTTTCAGCAAATACCTTATACATTTACGGTTGTCTGCCAGTGAGCCTGGCAAGATGCACATCATATTGTGTGTCCTGATAAGGTGAACATTAAGTTCATATAGGTGTGAGTTGACGTGACTTAATTAACATATACCACACTCTCTAACACCCCCCCCCCCCCCCCCTTTGCAACAGCGATGTCGCCCGGTGTGGTTGTATCTCTGCACAGTAATGACACCCAGGGTGGTTGCACCCCTCACCCCAGAGTGATGATACCGGGGTGGCCGCACCCCCTTCCTGCTATCTTCTTCCCCCTGTATCTCTCCTCTTCTTTCTTTCTTGTTCCTTTCCTTTCTTTTTCCCCATGTCTCAGTGCCGACTTGATTTTCTTGGTCTCTTTGTTTTTCTTCCTCTCTCCTCCTCTTTCTCAACTTTCTCTCAATCTTCTACTCCCCCCTCCCCCAACTCTCCGTTCTGTATGGTAGAAGAAAACTTGAGCCCACTGGTAGTACATGGCCTGTTTTGATAATGGGGCGGTGACAGTGTTAACAACAGGGCAAACACAACAGGTGTGTTCATTTCTGGGAATCCGGTCAGGCCGGATTTTCTTTTCTTTCAAAAATGACTAAAGAATCATCTTAGAAAATGCGCAGTGATGGCCGAAATTAATTATTTGGATTTGGGGGTGATCAGGAAAAATATCTCCAACAGAAAATATGCAGAGCTCTAAATAATGCCAGATGCATGAACAAATGCTACAGTGGTTGTGGATTTTTTAAAAATGATTAAAAAAACCTTAGCTTATTTAATAATTATTTTAAGTTAATTATAAAGCGGGACAGACTCCTAGTGCAAACATGTTGGATTTAAAGCGAAAACAGTGATGCCACTAAAAAATTTTATTAAACATTTGCGCTCAGCCAATCTTTGTGAAATTTCCCATACTTATATAAAAATTAACGCAGAATTCAAAAATACACCACAAATTGCATTAATCTGGCTAATTAGGAAGATATTTATGAAATTACTTACCGTTAATTCACTGCGTGCTGCAAAAAAAAAAAATTGCATCAAAACCATTTCAGGTCAAAGCCTAGCATCTCTCCAATAACTCCTAATAATTTTTCAGATGTTATTTTTTGCGTAAAGAGCACGGAAAAATAATTTCTCAGTAATGGTCAATTCAGGCTGCTTTTTTTGGTCGCGGTCGCGTCCCTAGTTACGGATGAAAATGTATAGCAAAATAAGCAAAACAAATCTACCCATTGTTATACCTAGTAATAGTTATAAAAAAAAAAATTAGTTTGATAATGTTTGGCTAGCCTTTAAGCTTATACAAATCTGAAGCCACACAAATTTTCTGTCTAAATCTTTATCCACAAATTGCCAAGCTAAAATGTTAATATCTTCGCTCAGAATTGACTTACAGGCTTCATTCACTGAGGCATCTTTGTCTTTGTAGTTTTAATCTCCATCTAGTTGTGGTGGTTTCATAAATCCGATATATAAAACTTTACTAGCATTCCTACAATCCAGTTATTTAAACTGAAACTCCTCAAATGTAATGCAGTTGCTATTTGATATTTTGAAAATGTTTGGGAGTGGGGGGGGGGGGGAGATGTGATATCCATTGTTATTCTATAAATAAAAGAACATTTTCATACAAGGAACGTTTCCAGTATTTCATTACTTTTTGTCCTCATTTAATTTAGGACTGCCCAAGTGATTAGAATACTGGTTTTATTTTCATGCAAGAGACTTGGATTCGAATCCTCTGTAAGGTGAAAGTTTTTTGATGAGAGACAAAAATATGCCTTCTAATCTAGACAGTTTGTTATGAGAACGCTAGACATGCTGCCCAGAATTATCTTAAGTGGCTTAGTTTTCTGGATAACCTTCTCAAACAACATAAAAAAAAAAACTGAGAACACGAGGTATATTTTAACACAATAATAATAGTCATAATTCCACAGCAGATGATAAATTACTAATGAAAAAGGGTTAAGAATTACACACATTCACCTGTCACACGTTCTGTCCTTTCTTTCTTTCAGCTGCTACGAAATAATTGTATGTTTGACATTCTAGTCAAAGTTGAAGGTATCGACTTTAATGCGGCATTTATCCCATATAGTACATCATAGAGCAAAGTCAGCAATACTTTAAACGCCGACCCTAGTGGGCGCATCCCTTTGTTTGTTTACCACAACGGTAGAGATCACAATCCATTGTTCCTTTATATTCACATAATCGTGTTCTTTAATGTTTATTATTGTTTGTGGTTAAGGTTAGGTGTAGTGTTATACCTATCCCCAGTACTAACCCTAACCTTAACTTTAAAATATACTAAACATTAAGGTAAATTATTATGTGAACGTAAGCAAACAATATGATGCATCCCCTACGGTCACTGAATTGAGGATGCGCATTGTTTAATATTATAATTACCACTCAGTATCTTCAGGTACTGCCCAAAAATGTGCTCTCTGTGACTAAACCACCACTGGAAAACTAACAAGTAACTGGAAAACAAGTCATGACTTGTTCCACTTTGATAGAGTAATTTCTGCTTCACGTGCATCCACAGTCCCTCTATACTCTGTGTGTGGATGTCAGTACTTGAAACGGCAACCCTAGGGGATGCAGTTTGCCATAAACGAACAATGGTTTGCATCCCTTAGGGTCACAGTTTGAAGTAATGTTGCATAATCTCCATAGCTCCAGTGGCGACCTCCAAGGATCTCCATAAAAACCACTCATGAATTGAATGACTAGACATTTATCTAGAAAATTAGGGCACCAGATCCCTAACATCATCAACATCACCTTTGTGTGCCATGATGTCAGCATGTGGGTATCTCACATGTTTGGACACAGGTTCCAACCTGTTCTAAAGGAGTGGTATTTTTTTTTTTTTTTTTAAAATCAGTGGTTAACAAACACTGTATATAAATATGAAAAATTTTTTCTTTATATATCGAAACAGAATAGACCCAAAAAAAATGTTTATTTACTCAGAGAACATTGCAGACTGGCATGATACTGACCACATCACCCACCAAGTGCTGTTGGTCTATAAAATATATTTATACAGACTGACATGATGCTGACCACATCACCCATCAAGTGCTGTTGGTCTATAAAATATATTTATACAGACTGGCATGATACTGACCACATCACCCATCAAGTGCTGTTGATATATAAAATATATTTATACAGACTGGCATGATACTGACCACATCACCCACCAAGTGCTGTTGGTCTATAAAATATATTTATACAGACTGGCATGATACTGACCACATCACCCACCAAGTGCTGTTGATATATATAATATATTTATACAGACTGGCATGATACTGACCACATCACCCATCAAGTGCTGTTGGTCTATAAAATATATTTATACAGACTGGCATGATACTGACCACATCACCCATCAAGTGCTGTTGATATATAAAATATATTTATACAGACTGACATGATACTGACCACATCACCCATCAAGTGCTGTTGATATATAAAATATATTTATACCCAGTACACCTGAAGGTGGAGAAAAGTTTCCTTTACTAGTTACTTTTTTAATTACTAGCAACAATTTCTTATGACATATTGAGTTTAAATAACATGTGCCTGGGACTGAAAAAGTTCAGAGAACTCAAGCTGACATCCCACTTTATGACCCTTAGTGGAGTAAGCACATGGCCTCAGATTGCTGAAGATGAGGAAGGTTTATCAAGGATTCAGTTTGAAAATAAGCTGTCTCATACATTTTACTGGACTTTTGGTGGTTACAGGACAGTGTATTCAATTTGTTTTGTTTTGTTTTTCTCACAATCTTAGACATGAGGGCCATATATTTTTCATCTATAACCACACAAAGAAGACAGAAGAAGATGACCCTAAAGATGCAATACTTTATTTCTATCCAGGATTTGTAAGTGTTGACTTTTGTTATATTGGTATATGTGTGTGTGAGAGGGAGAGATGGAGGAGGAAGGGTGAAGTAGGGTTGAGAGAGGAGAGACTGAGAGGGAGGAACATTTAGGGGAGAAACAGTAGTAGGGAAGAAGGGGGGGAGGGAGGATGAGATAAATAGGGTAAGGGGGAAAATTGGAAGAAATATATGGTGAATGTGAGAGAGCTAGGGGTGAGGGAGAGAGAAAAAAGGTATAGGGATAAAAGCGACAGTGGCTCTTGCATCATAAAGGCACATTCCTATATGGGTTCCAAGGCCCTATTGTAGGGAAAATCTTAAATATTCTTCTTCTTCTTCTTCTTCTTCTTCTTCTTCTTCTTCTTCTTCTTCTTCTTCTTCTTCTTCTTCTTCTTCTTCTTCATGTTCACTAACTGTAAACTCCAGTGGAAAATCCTGATTGTTCAGCCACTTCTGGGCTTTGATCTTGTTCCAGAACTTGAGTTTTGTATGCACATCCAATTTACATATTTGTTTATTTCTATGCAGACTGTTGGCTCACCACCTCTGAGGCAGATGCACTCCAACTTCTTGTAAGATAAAATCCCAATTAATCACCTTTTATGCTTCATGTGGGTTCTGGGATCCAGTATGGGGAAACCTAGAACAGTTTGCAGTGAACCACTAGATGTGGAGAGCTATGACCTCTGCCCTATGTGCCGCTCTAGGCTAAAGAGGAAAGACCAACTAACTATGGGAAAAACAAGATTAGACCCACTGCCTCCACAACAAACATGTTGTAGGAGTTGACTGATTGGGGGCTTCCTTCGAGGTCAGAGTGCATCTGCCTGAGCAGCAAAGAACAACCAACAGCACATAAATAAACCAGTAAAAAGGAAGTATGGATGTGCATGCAAAACTCAGGCCCTGGTACAAAGCTAGAATCCAAATGAGCGAACAAACAGGACTTTCCGCCGCAGCTTAAAGCTGGTTGATGAAGAAGAAAAACACCTTTTATAACATGCTTCTTAAAAAGGAAGCGGGCCCCCCCCCCACCCCCCATGGGGGCCCTGGAACCCACACAGAGATAAATCATAAAGGAGATTGTATTTTCATGTTTTGATGTGCAAATACAGCAGTCAGATGTTTTTTTTTAAAATTTATTTTTGTTTGTTTGTTTTATTGTTTTTGTTTTTGGCTGTTATATTAATTTGCTTTGGGTCATATTTCAATTTGCAGGTTGGGGTGGATGTCCAGATTGCCCTGGTGGGTGGGATCATTGGACTGGTGGACTTCTGTCTGGAGTTCTTGCCTCGGTCCATGCCCAGCCTTGTCAAGCTGTCAGGTCGCAACTTTGCTCTACTGCAGCATGAAGATTTTATCATTGTGAGTAGAATTACATTTCATTGTTGCTATAATGAAACTTTACATAAAATAGAAGGAATTTAGGAGGGGTGGAGAAATAATAGAAATGTCTCGGCAACTTCTGGAAACAACAGTTTCAAGAGAAAGAAGAAGGCTTTGTACATATTTATATCTCGAGACAAAACGAGCAGAGAGCCACTAAATCAGCACTAAAATCTCTTTATTTCCCATTTTATTGCCTGTTTAGTGATGGTGACATAATATCCAGGCAGACCTTCAAACTTGGTGACATCAGCTGGAAAGACAAGGCAAGTCAGAGATATGAATGGAGATGGGTGATATCTGCAGCAATGAACATCAAGGGCTCAGAATGCTAAATGTCTGAATGGTCAACCTTTGTCGATATCACCCCAAAGCGGTCTACTGCTGGATCACCTAAATCAGGAATCAAACTAGGTACTTCGGAGTTACGAAGCATATTTACAGTGCCTAAGCAACAGACGCTGATATTACGACTGTACTTTTTATAATAAGACAACTTTACCAATGTAAATTTTGCTCATTGAAATCAACTTCTACAGAATGGTGTGATTCCACTTGTGGACAGAATTTCTAAAATATAAAATCCAAAGAAATGATACACTTTCCTGTGATCCCAGCATAGTGGATTGAATCCCTAGTCTTTTGCAATTAGGGTGGAAAAAAAGAATATCCTGTGCACACACTGGAAATCCTCTGGCATTTGGAAAATTGCAAATTGTAGATTTGTCCATGTTATCTGGAGTTGTTATGGAATAAAAGAAATGTAACCTATCATGCACATCAAAAGGTGATCAAGAAAGGTCACCTTGAGTTTTGCTATCTCATGTAATAAACACTTAGCTTCAGTATCAAATCAGTTATGGTTAAGTCCGCTAAGTGTTTGATGTGTGGGCTGCACTAGGAGATGAAAGGAACGAGGAGCACAAGAAACAAGAAGAAAAAGATGTCCGGACAAGTGAAGAAAGAAGATAGGAAGAAGAAGAGGATGGAAAGAAACAAGAAGAAAAAGAAGTCTGGGCACGATAAGAAAGAAGATGAGAAGAAGACGAGGAGGATAAGAAACAAGAAGAAAAAGTAGTCCGGGCAAATGAAAAAAGAAGATGAGAAGAAGACAAGGAGGGAAAGAAACAAGAAAAAAAAGAGAAGTCTGGGCAAGTGAAGAAAGAAGAATATGAAGAGGGGAAGAAAAAAAAAGTTTGGGAAAGTGAAGAAGGAAGATGAGAAGAAGAAGAGAAGGAGGTTAAACAAAATTTATTAAAACATTATTTGTTTGGGTCACACTTTACAAAAATAGTCCACTTACAAACATGTAACATCCCCATCTCAGTTCAGGAGACCCATTGTAGGGAAGAAACAAAGAAAAGAATAAACCTATTGCAATCTAACAGGCAGCGCAGAATAGAAGGAATTAAATGGTATGATAGAATAACTGATGTAGAGCTTTGGCAGAGAACTAAACAGGCTCCAGTGGACCAAGAGGTGAGGAAAAGACGCTGGCGTTGGATAGGACACACACAATGAGAAAACAGGAGAACAGCATAACTAGAATGTCTTTGCATTGGAACCCACAAGGGCATAGGAATAAAGGAAGGCCAAAAAACACACGGAGAAGAGAGCTGATGAATGAAGTTAGAAAGATGAGGATGACATGGGGAGAACTCCATGCAGTGGCGAAGGATAGAACGACTTGGCGTGAGTTGGTTGAGGACCTTTGCTCCTTTGGGGGATAGAAAGGCGGAAGAAGAAGAATCTAACAGGCAAATCATAACAGTCAGCTAATTAGCGATGTACTCTTTGAAGTCGGAGTGCATCTACCTGAGAGGTGAGGAACAGCAGGTTTCATACAAATAAACCAGTAAAAACTCAGGTTCTACAACAAGAAGTTATTGAATAACCAGAATTTCTGTAGGTTTTTTATCACATGTAAATGTAAAGAAAAAGAAGAAGAAAACAGTGAACTGGTGATTGACTGTGAATGATTCTTGCTGTCTTTTTACCTACAGGGTTTGGGTGGCAGCCCAGATACACCAGATGCATTTTTGATCGCACACATGCAGTTTGTTTGGTCAACATTCATCTTGTATCAGGGCAGTTTATCTGCACTTAAAAAGGTATGTGTTCGTTATTGCAGAATCTGTTTTTGTTTAGATTCTTTTTTTCCTTTTTTTTTTGTCGAAGCTGAGCTACAGTTTCCATTTGTCTTTTTTACTTATCTCTTTTAAAAATGGTTTATTTCGGCAAGCATAAGCCACATTCCACTTATAATAAACCATATAATAGAAGATCAAAAATATAATAGATACCATATAATAGAAGATCAAAAATATAATAGAAGATCAAAAATATAATAGATACCATATAATAGAAGATCAAAAATATAATAGATACCATATAATAGAAGATCAAAAATCAAATGGTTTGGTCATCTGGTCAGAGTGGAACAAAATCAGCCAGCATCTAGAGCAGCGGTTTTCAAGCTATGGGTCGCAACCCTTTTTTGGGTTGAATGAGCCTTTCACAGGGGTCGCCTAAGACCATTGGAAAACACAGATTTACTTAAGTTATGAAGTAGCAAAAAAAAAATAATTTTATGGTTGAGTGTTACCACAACACAAGGAACTATATTCATTATGAAGGTTGAGAATCACTGGTCTAGAGTGTATTACATGAGAACAGCAGGCTACAAGCCAAGATGCTTGCCAAAAATGTAATGGATGCCAGGAGTAAAAGAGACACTACAGAAACACAATATGATTTTAATTAAAGTTACGCAACTAGCAAAAGGCAGACAACTACACCTATCTCCTTTCTGCAGTGTTTTACAGCATAAACAGTAGGACAAGAGAAGATACCCATAACATCATTTCATTGGCTGACCATGTAAAACTATCAGTTCACTCAGAACACAGAGTATGTACCTATCTCTCTCAGCTAAATCTCAGCATCAGGACAGATCTCTGTCTTTACACTTTGCAGTGGTGAGCATACCACTACCAGTTTGTCAGGCTGTGGCACATAGGGCTCACAGTCTAGTCCTCCATTCAGTTCTATTCTGTGTTATCCTTTTGATATCGTGAATGGAATTCAGTCCAGCACTTTTGGCCTCCCTCAAGAACATTACTACCACTTACTTGACCAGCATAGGCAGGTCATTATTCTACGCCTCAGGACAGGACATAACAAGACATATGCACAGGCTTCGTCTAAGTAGTTCACCGTTATGCCGGTGTGGGCTATGTGTGCAGACTGCAGAATGTAGTGCAAGAATGTCCCTCGTATAACCCATTAAAAAGGGAATACCGTCCCCCTGAGTCAACACTGCACTAAAAGTTGTATGGAACTAAAAAGTAACTAAGAAAAAAAAAAAGTCATATTTATCACAAGAACTTGTCTGTCAGTGTAAATCAGAAAGTGATCACAAGAAGTAGAAGAAGAATCCAATTCAATCTTCCACCGTTGATTGAGCATGTGATTTTTTTAAATGTAATTTTCATTTACGCAAAAGAAATGACAAGCTTACCAGCAGTGTTTAAGTTTGTGCATGCTCTTGTCTGCATGTGCTGAGAGGCTCCCAGACTGCAGAGTACGTCATTGAGATATGTCCCTCTAATCTCTTCATGTGGGTTCTGGTGACCCATTTTGTAGGAAAAAATTAACAGACCCCAGGAAGTTAACCCAGTCAACAAATGCTCAATGAAGTTGGATGTGTCGGCCATTAGGTGCAAATATCACGGCTTTGCTGTAAACAGGCACAGTGCAGTTCTGTCACTCAGACGAGGGAAAAGAAGAAGAGAAGAATATACCCACTGCCCCTCCTTCCCAACAAGCATGTAATGAAAAGTGACTAGGGGTGTTTCCTGTATCTGCCTGTTTAAACATAAGCCAGATCAGCAAAATGGATTTGCACACAAAACTACAGTTCTGGAACAAAACTCTCATATAAATTAGGTATGAGCCAAACTGCTCTCTGCCAGTGCCTTCGTGCTGAACAGACTCCAGAACATGTCCTGCAAGACTGTCCTCTCCTGGCGGAGCTGCGGAGCAACATTTGGCAACACCCAGTAGAACTGACAACTAAGCTTTGGGGAAACCTAAGAGACCTTGAAAAGACATCCCATTTTATGACCCTCAGTGGATTATGCGCATGACCAGAGATCACTGAAGAAGAAGAAGAAGAACGAAACTAAAGTTCAGAAGTGGATGAACAACTAAAACTCTGTCAGCTTTGCCAAATTATTGTTACTTTGAAATCCCTCAGCGAGTGTCCACCGACCACTTCTTGCAAGAACTAAAGAACGTGTGGGACTACTACCTTCCACTGAGACAGATTCAGGAAGATGCCTTGTCACAAGCGTTCCAGGTCTTGCCCTATGTGCCGCTACACAAAGTAAGAATTGTTTCTATGCTTTGGTCCCTTTGATTTCTAAAGGCTGACTTTCATTCAACACAGATACCTAACATAATTAGCCTAAAATGGGTATAAGGAAATGTTCTGAGAGGATAATGCAGCTGGCATGACCTGTCAAGTGTTGATTGGTCTATAATCCCTATTTTGGAGAACAAAAAATAAATCTACATCCCTCCCGACAAGCATGCTGTAAAAGGCGACTAATTAAGTATGTTTGCTTCTAAGTCTTAGTGCATCAGCCTGAGAGATGAGGAACCAACAGTCTGCATAATAATAAGCCAGATCTGTAAAAGGTTTTGCTTGCAACACTCTTGAACAAGATCAGAAGTCCAGAAGTTGACGAACAACCAAGACTTTCTGCCAGAGTTTACAGTCCGTGAACGCGAAGATAAAGAAAACATCTGGCATGACCCATTAAGTGTTGATTGGTCTAAAAATATAGATATGCCTCGTATGACCGATGTAGCGTTTAAAAAAAAACTAAAAATAAAAATGTGACCCCTTCTGGATTGCTTTCTGAGTGAATGGATGACTGAATCAAGAATTGACATCACTGCACTCTGGCCATTCCTGCACATGCTCCGTCTCCTTACTCAGTAACTAACAAATAGTAGACACACAAATAGTACTTGATGCAACTTGATTAAAGGTCTGCCTGTTTCCTCTTCAATGTTGTATATCTTCCCGAACCTCTTCTCACCCCACCCCCTTTCCTTGGTGAAATAGTCTTTCAGTGAATGGATTCTCTGTCTGCTCTTTTGCACTGTCCATTTTATCCTAGAGAGCCTTCACTACATCTTCTTTATCATAAAGTAACTCACTGCTCAGTGGAGCTGCAGCAGCCATTCTATCAGTCTGCTTATTACCCTACACACCGGAATTTCCTAGATGAAAAATCCATGATATGGTCCTTATCTAAGCTTTATAATTGCAGCCTGAAAGACTTATCACCCAATGACTCAAGGAGCCACTATTCTGATGAGAATCCATCAGAAGCAGATCCCAGTAACCTGGTTTTACTGTATATCACAGTCTAATGTGAGCGGGTTGATGGTACTTTGTTTAAACATGAGAAAACATCCTAAACTTACTTTAGTGCTGCGATCTTCCCTTATTATGGTGTCTGAATTCTTTAGCAGAATCACTCACAACTGTCTGGTAAAATCACAAACAGCCATAAAAATCCTGGGGTTGGTTCGGCAACATGCTGTAAAGCAGCGGTTCTCAACCTGTGGGTCACAACCCTTTTAGAGGTCAAACGATCATTTCCACAGGGGTCACCTAAGACCTTCGGAAAACACATATTCGCTGAAGTTATGAAGTAGCAACGAAAATAATTTTATGGTTGGGGGTCACCACGACACGAGGGATTGTATAAAAAGGTTGTGGCATTAGGAAAGCTGAGAACGACTGCTGTAAAGGATACGTAACTAACTATATGAGCATGATGTAAACATAGATTTTATTCTTTGCACTTTCTAAATGTTAATTTTATTATGTGTAGTTATATATACAGTAAAATTGTGACAACAGAGATTAAATGCCTTAGAAGAGCTGCAGGAGTTTCAAGGAAAGACAGAATACGGAATCATGAAATTAGACGAATGCTAGGAATAAAGCCAGTCTTACAGGTCACCAAAGAACAACAAATGAAGTGGTTTGGACACCTAACAAGAATGCCCTGGTACTATCGGCCACAGTGAGCCACACTAAAACGTTACAACGGGTATATAGCGAGTGGACGACCTCAGAAAAGATGGAGTGACGGCATTAAGAACGGCATTAAGAACAGCCTTACAGAAATGAACATCAGTCTTAATAGTGCTCTTGACAGAGCTGATCAACAAACATTACATCTCCCCCCCGACACTTTGATGAGGTAAAAGATGGAAGAGAAGAAAAAGAAGAATATATACAGATGTCCAGCATGAATGTATATTTTTTCTGTGTAAATATACTATGCACCAAGATCACAATATATAAAACGTTGATAAGACCAGTCATTTTATATTGCACTGAAACTTGGAGCACAGCTAAAAAAAATGAAAGCTTATTACATGTTTTTGAAATGAGGACCCATCAAAGACAAACGGCGGAGAATGGAGAGTGAGAAGCAACAACGAAATTCATACTCTGTTAAAAATCATCATCGGTCACTGGCATCATGAGATCTAATAGACTGAAATAGCTTGAGCATTTTGAGAGAATGTCAAATGATAGAGAGGTAAAAATGGTTGTAGACCACGAGGCAGACCAAGAAGACAATGGAGAGATAACGTCCAGACAGACCAAACAGAAAGAGAAGGCCAGCCAGAGAGATGACTGGAGGCAGGTGATATCTGCAGCAGTGAGCCGCAAGGGCTCGGAACGCTGAAGAAGAAGAAGAAGTATACTGAGTAAATATCTGTATATTTTTTGTAGGTTAACTATGACCGTCAAGTTAATTCTATCTAAATATACCATATATGTATACTGTATGTTCAGTGTGAAGATATATTTTTTTGTATACTTTCTAACATAGATTCACTATGTGTAGTTGTGTATACAGATGTTGCCGTAAAAACATATATTTTATTCTGTGTACTTTTTAAGTATAGATTTATTATGTATAGTGTATACAGTTGTTCGTTATCCACACAAACTATTTATGTAAATATACTATGTAGATAATTACTTTTTGTATAATAATTTGTGAAAATAGATTGTATTTTATGTAAATGTACCATATGTGTGTTATATATGTTCAGTGTGAACATAAATTTTATTCTATGTGAATATACCATATATGTTTATTGAATATTCAGTGCGAACATAAGATTTTATTCAATGTTTACCTCTACAGAGTCAGGGTCATCTATTCCTACATGCGTCTCACATCCTTCAGAGGAGTCTCGCACATAAAGGGGTCCTGGCTGGGGCTCTCTTCAATAAAACCAGGTGGGTTTGTACTAGCGTGGTCTCTCATGTTTGTTTCCGGTTGTATTTGTGCATAGTTTGTTCAGTAATAGATGAATGGATGGGTGCATGGATGGTGTATGTTTTGAATTAGATAGGTAGAACTAGACAAGATAAGATAATATAGGGCAATTTTCAGATCTTTTAAAATGTCAGTATTTCTTCTCTTCTTTGTCCACCTTATTCTGAGAATCTTTCTGTAGCAGATAGTCCACCTCTCACATCCGTATGTTGCTACAGGGAAGATGCCTCAAGGTAAATCAAGACAATATTAGTCAAGACAAAGGGAGCATTGCATCAGCCACCTTTACTTCCCAGAACTTTACCTGTTACCCATTTAAAGCTGGCTCAACCTGTGAGCCAGGGTCATTTTTTTAAAAACAATTCTGCTCAGCGCGGTTCACAGATTATATAAAACAAGATAATATATGGCAACACAAGATAATATATGGCAACACAAGATAAGATAATATGTGGCAACACAAGATAATATGTTTACTTGTATCTGAGTGCATAATTGCTTTTTTTAAAGCTTCATAAGTGGATTTTATGTTCATCCAGTTAAAAAAAAAAAGGCTAACTCTGTTTCACCATACACATTTCTACAGAGTGCTCTGTACACAGTTGAGCAACAGCCTCACGAGGCAGTTCCTTCTTCTCATGTCTCAGAGCCAGGTAAATATTACTTAGATAGTTATGGTTTAATTCTTTCATTCTCATCGAGGGTAACTGGCTGACCAAACGGGAAAAAAGTTACGATCATGAGAATGTAAACACAAAGTGGAAGTGGCCAGCTTTCTTCAGTGTACTCTGGCTAAAGGGATCTGTAGTGATATAGTGGCTAGATGAAAAAACCTGCTAGCCGAAAGGTTGTAGGTTCAAATCTGTGTCTAGTCGGATTAAAAAACATTGCTTTCACTTCCAAGTCACACCAGCCTAAAATGGGTATCCTTGAAAGTAAAGACGGCTGACGTGATGTTGAACGCATCTCACGGCGAGTGCCGATTAATCTAACAGATATGAGTTTAGCACTGTGTGTCCGATGTGGCACTAGGGTGAATATGGTCCTTGACCTTTGATTTGACCTCGACCAGATGTAAAAAGTAAGGTGGTCGGGATTCATGGGAAAGAGCCAATCACAGTCAACCTTGCTTTGCACTGAAAGAGTACATGGGTGTCTAGAGAAGGCTATGACAGCTGAGAAGATTGAGGGTGTTAGAGGCAGTGGTCATCATAGGAAGGAGGTAATAGGTGTCTAGAGAAGGCTATGACAGCCGAGAAGATTGAGGGTGTTAGAGGTAGTGTCATCACAGGAAGGAGTTAACAGGTGTCTAGAGAAGGCTCTGACAGCCGAGAAAATTGAGGGTGTTAGAGGCAGTGGTCATCACAGGAAGGAGTTAACAGGTGTCTAGAGAAGGCTGTGACAGCCTTGAAGATTGAGGGTGTTAGAGGCAGTGGTCATCACAGGAAGGAGGTAATAGGTGTCTAGAGAAGGCTGTGACAGCCGAGAAGATTGAGGGTGTTAGAGGCAGTGGTCATCACAGGAAGGAGTTAACAGGTGTCTAGAGAAGGCTGTGACAGCCGAGAAGATTGAGGGTGTTAGAGGCAGTGGTCATCACAGGAAGGAGTTAACAGGTGTCTAGAGAAGGCTGTGACAGCCGAGAAGATTGAGGGTGTTAGAGGCAGTGGTCATCACAGGAAGGAGGTAATAGGTGCCTAGAGAAGGCTAGCCTTGAAGATTGAGGGTGTTAGAGGCAGTGTCATCACAGCTGAGAAGGCTGTGACAGCCGAGAAGATTGAGGGTGTTAGAGGCAGTGGTCATCACAGGAAGGAGGTAATAGGTGCCTAGAGAAGGCTGTGACAGCCGAGAAGATTGAGGGTGTTAGAGGTAGTGGTCTTCACAGGAAGGAGTTAACAGGTGTCTAGAGAAGGCTATGACAGCCGAGAAGATTGAGGGTGTTAGAGGCAGTGGTCATCACAGGAAGGAGTTAACAGGTGTCTAGAGAAGGCTTTGACAGCCTTGAAGATTGAGGGTGTTAGAGGCAGTGTCATCACAGGAAGGAGTTAACAGGTGTCTAGAGAAGGCTTTGACAGCCTTGAAGATTGAGGGTGTTAGAGGCAGTGTCATCACAGGAAGGAGTTAACAGGTGTCTAGAGAAGGCTTTGACAGCCGAGAAGATTGAGGGTGTTAGAGGCAGTGTCATCACAGGAAGGAGTTAACAGGTGTCTAGAGAAGGCTTTGACAGAGAAGATTGAGCCGAGAGGAGTTGGGTGTTAGAGGCAGTGTCATCACAGGAAGGAGTTAACAGGTGTCTAGAGAAGGCTGTGACAGCCGAGAAGATTGAGGGTGTTAGAGGCAGTGTCATCACAGGAACGAGTTAACAGGTGTCTAGAGAAGGCTATGACAGCCGAGAAGATTGAGGGTGTTAGAGGCAGTGTTATCACAGGAAGGAGTTAACAGGTGTCTAGAGAAGGCTGTGACAGCCCTAAAGATTGAGGGTGTTAGAAGCAGTGGTCGTCACAGGAAGAAGGTAATAGGTCTCTAGAGAAGGCTGTGACAGCCGAGAAGATTGAGGGTGTTAGAGGCAGTGGTCATCACATGAGGAATATGCTGAATGAATTGGAAAAATGGCAAAATAGTATAGAAATCAGTTTTAGAATTTATTTTAAAAAAAAAGATTGATATCTATGAAGGAATAAAACACAGGGACATTTAGAATGATTGTTGGGGTTTTAAACTCATTATATTATGGCATCTTCGGGTAACCTTGTGTGACTTTGAGGCTTAAACGGTGATGAAAAGATAAGGAACATCCAGTACCTTAAAGAGAGGGTAGCTGCAGCAGTTGCCGTTTAACTGTAGACATGATTCAGAAGACATGGAAAGAGATTCAGTACTGTTTAGATATTACCAGAGCTACAAATACCTCCATATCAAAGTGTACTAAGGTAAATCTAATAACTTTTAAAAACATTTTAAAACGCCACACATTTTTATCCGTTTAATACTTTACAAAAATTAAATTTCTAGTAATCATTCTTGATGGGTACGCTACATATTGGGGGATAAAAGGAAGAAGAATATGAACATTAAGGTGTTTAATACCATTTGTCAGTTAATTTTCTGGTCTATTTAATATTATTGTCTAATATATTTGTTTAATTTATATTGAATAATCTAGTTATCTATTATATTGTCTAATAATAATATAAAAATCTCTTATCTGGTAATACTAATTTAAATTCTGACAATGTCTTTATTTTACACTACTGATACATTAATATATCATGTACTTTCAGTTTCCTTGTGTGGAAGCCAACTCTGGTGAGACAAGTATTTTCTTGTTTATGCTACTTTCACTTATTCTGCACTTAGCATGTCCTTTTACAATCAGTATTTGAGAATAACAACTAGAAAGATCAGTAACAAGAGGCGGAGAGAGAAATGATGCTGGATGTTCTTATATGATGACGTAGAGAACTATCTTTAGTAGGATTTTCTAGAACATACGGAAATTAGATCTTTGTAGGTCCCTTAATTATTTGGGGGGGGGGGGGGGGGGGGGGGGGGGAGAAATCCCAACAAGCATGTTGTAAAAGTTGACTTACAAGGTTTTTTTCCCCCTTCAAAGTCAGAGTGCATCTGACTGAGAGGCAAGAAACTTACAGTCTGCATACAAATATGCCAAAACTTTAAAACGAATATGCACGCGAAACTCAAGTTCTGCCATAAGATCAAAATCCAGAAGTGGCAGAACAACCAGAACATTCCACTAAGGTTAACAGCCGATGAACATGAAGAAGAAGAAGAGTACCAAATGGTCTACAAAGCTATGAGCACCGTATGTCAACTGTTGCCCAAGACATATAAAAGTGTCCTTGTTCTTCACTGCATGATCACAGAAATAAATTAAACTTTTCTGACTGAATTACCTGATGTGAAAACCTGAACACTATTTTATGATTAACCATATTTTATTGTTTGTAAATTAATATTTTTTTTCTTCATTTGTTCATACACAGTTCTGGAACTTCCTGGAGGAGTGAGGCTTCTTCATATTTACCTGCCAAAGAATGAATACGCTAAGCTGGGATATCGAAGGAAGAAGGCATACATCCACTCCAAATCTAATGTCCTGTCAAAAGAAAGATCCTCATCAGACTCAGTGAATAGAAGTACACACCCATCTCTTTGCACGCCAGATTATATATCAGCACAGAATTTCTTCACTGATGGTGTGGTCAGCAGTGCTGGAGGAGTGACAGATCCTGGAAAGTCACAGAGTTTTGATGATGGCAGTTCTGGTAACCGATCTTCTAGTGGACATGAAGCAAGTGGTTTGATGGTGTCACCATCGGCTGGGCTGAATTCTGGTACAGATTCTGAAGTCTTCTTGGACACACTTTCAGACATGATCTTTGACTCCGAGAATCAGCTGAAGTTAGCTGATATAAAACAAGTAGAATGTGCGACAAGCAGTAGAGAGGCTTCCAATCTACGGCTTCGTCAGACCCTGCCCTTTTCACATCCCACACTGGTTGAAGTTGGCAGTCGTTCTTCACTGAGTCTGGAAAGTAACAATCCTTCACTGAGCCAAGACAGTATTAGTCCTTCACCGAGTCAGGACAGTAGCAGTCCTTTACCAAGCCAAGACAGTAGCCGTCCTTCACCGATTCAAGATAGTAGCAGTCTTTCATCCAGACAAGGTAAAAACAGTCCCATACCAACTCAGAATAGTAATTCACTGATCAGAGACAGTAGCAGTCCTAACAGTAACAGTTCTGTGCAGAGCAATAACAACCAAGGCAGTAGCAGTACTTCTCCAACTCCAGAGAGTAACAGTCCTGGAGTGAATCAAAACAGAAGTAATCCTATTTCAGGCAGTCACAATCCTTCACCAAGCCAACACAATAGTAATCCCTCGCTGTCTCAAGACATTAATAATCATACACCAACTCACAATAAGAACAGTCAATCCCATTCTGAGAACAGCACCCAGATAAAGATAAATATCCATGTAGAACATGACAGTGGAACTTCTAAAGCTGAAGAGAACAAAGCTCAACTGGAAATACATCAGTCATTGAGAGATTTGTCTTTCAGTGGTAAGACTCCTGAAGAAGCTTTTTCTCACGATGCTGAAACACCAGCTGAGGCCTTAGGTTCTTTTTCTGATACTTACCAGCATGATACATCTTCTAGTGATCCTACCAGTAATGCTAGTAATTATGATACATTCTGTACTGATACCAATAGATTTGAAGATAGTGATAGTAACAGGGAGAGTACACTTTTAAAAGATGCCAGAAAACAAGATACATCTTTTGCTGATATTAAAAGTAAAGATATTTCTTGTGCTGATATCGTTAGTCATGAAAATAATAGTGTTCTGCAAGATAAGATCCTAAATACAGAATTACATTTGAACCAACATAGCAATAAAAGTAACCCCAATGAAAGTGTCTTGGCTGTCGATCAAGAACATTGTAATGGCATGGAGAGTAGTGCACATGAAGTTACAGCAGATTTGAAGTCTGTTGCCGTGTTTGCCCACAACTATCCCGATTTACTTGATTCTTCAGAAACTAGTACTACTTCATCACATCTCGACAACAGCTTGTCATCTGATCAGCAACAGAACAAAGAGGGTTCAAAAGTTAACACAGTTGAAGATGGATTAGCTACAATTAGTCCTTGTCATGACAACAGTAACACTACAGGACCTGATTCAGGGCAAGTAAATACAATTTCTTCATTTCAAAATGGCAGAGTTACCTCACAAGTAAATTTGCATAATAAAGACACCACAAGTTTGTTAGAGCTTGAACCAGTTGAACTTAACAAAATTGCACAAGCTAATGGCGAAATTGTATCACAGCTGAGAAAATCAAACTATATTGCTGAAAATAGTGTCGAAGACCCATTGACTTCTTTGAATATAAAAGATAAGTCAGAGCGGGGAGTTCCTGTTAATAAAAAAATAGACGAGGCACATATAGGCATTGAAAACGGTTTGTCTGACTCCGCAGACATGTCCGTTTCTGATTTAGCCAATAAGGATTCAAGATCTCAAATGTCTCTGCAGCCGTCTGGTTTATCAAAACAAACTACATTTAATGTGACAGAAATTCTGGCACAAAACAAAGAGCAGATTGATGCTTCTTTGGAAACTCGACTTAGTGGAGATGAGTCATCAACGCAGTCATCTTCTGAGCTGAAACATGATGAGCACGAAGTGTCTTCTTATTCGCTGGCTTACAGTGAAGTCGGCGCCAATAAAGATCGTTTGACTTTTGAATTTGTGGACAGTGAGTTTTCCGAAGGAGGCCTGTTGTCTCCTCTGTCTTTACACTTGTCACCAGTTACAGAATCTTCCGGGCCGACAGCAGACGATATGCCTCAAGGAAGATCTGGATTGGAGCCAAAGAGCGGTGACTCAAAAATAGCTTCAGATCTTAAATCTGAAGACTTCGCCAAAAGTTCACCAGAATGGAGTCCTGAGAGAGATGGCCTTGAGGAGTTGACGCTGTATGCCCAAGGCCACTCTGATACTCTGTTGGTGTTGCTAGTATCTGACACTGTAAAGTGGAACAAGCTCAGTATTAACTCTTTGGTAAGCAGGGTTTATGTGTTGTATGTATCCCATCATAGTAAAAGTAAAATGCCCTTGTCCTACCCTTCAGGCGCATTAGATATACAGTACCAGACCTATAGACCAGTCGGTAGTCATTGGGTAATGTGGTCAACATCATGCCTTTACTTCCCAGGACTTTACCTTGTACCCATATAAAGGCTGTATCAACCTGGGAATAAAGGTCATTTTTTAAGAAAAAAGTCAGGCTTTGATTGGATTTGAGCCCATGACCTTTGAGTCCGCAGGTGAACATCTAGCCACTACATCATGGCGGCTCCCTATCCTATCATAACGTTAAAATCTGATCTTTATGAGTAAAGAAAGGATTTTGGGAATGTCATGCTATTTTTATATATTTAAACCAATAAGAACAATATATGATATAGTCTTGCTGACCACCTTTACTTTCCAGATAATTTCCTGGTACCTATTTAAGGCTGGGTCCCCTGGGGAATGTCAACACAAGAACACTGGCAGGCATACAAACTACTGCCCTGTACAGCTGCTTTTATCAAAACATGCATTCTGTGAAATTCCCCATGTGTTTTCCAGAAATAGACCCACTGTTCCCTGACAGTCATCTCATAAAAATAGACTAATTAGGGGAGTTTCCTTCAAAGTTAAAGTGCATCTGCCTGAGAGGCAAGTAACCAACAGTCTGCATACAGACAAGCCAATATGTGAGTTGGATGTGCATGCACAGCCCAAGTTCTCGAACAAGGCATAAATCCAGAAGGGGAGAACAACCAGAACTTTCCACTGGAGTTTACAACCCGTGAACACAAAGACGAAGACAAGAAACTATGACATTTCTAACAGTATTAATCCCTACCAGATGGACACATGCCAGATTCCGGTCAAAATGGATGCTAGGCAAGGTCAATGCCATTTAGCTGTGGCCAATTTTTGTGTGCTTGTGCCATACGCTGGCTGGTGCATTTTTGCTCCTTTTGTAGACTGAAAGGATAGTTTCGTTGCTCAGCTTCTGAGTTGAGTGCATGGCGTGGCACTGTGAGCTGCTGATTTCATTTGGAATGTTTTTCTACTGTGACCAATGTGGTGGTGTGAATTGTACAAGGTCCGACAATTAAGTAATGAGACTGATTCCATAAAAATTAAAGTAATCAACAGTTGAAGATAAAACCTGTGTCTGATTCAAAGTAAGCCCCATGTGCATTGATACAGCAAGTGGCACAATCTAACAAACACTGGAACGACCTCTGTAGCTCTTCTATTGCTATAACCCTTAAAGTCGATGTTATGGCCCTTTGGATGTCATCAATATCGTTAAAGAAGCGTCCTTTCTATCGTAACTGTAATTTTGGGAATAGAAAATAATCACAGGGAGACAAATCTGGGGATTAGGGTGGAAGGCTGAGAACACACACTTATTTTCGAGCCAAAAATTCTTGTTTGGATGATGTCTCTTGGGTGCTCAATCCGCTGATGTTTTTGGCCATCAGACAATGAATGTGGTACAAACCGGCAAGCAACTTTTTTCTTGCCAAAATCCTGCACTAAAATGTTATGAATGGTCTCTCTATTACCACCAGATTCATCTGCCATCATCCTCACAGTAAAACAATGATCTTCTTGTATCCATTATCAGACTTTTGCAACGAGTTCATCATTAGGAACGGAAATTTGACGTCTAGGTCTGCATTAGTAATCATTTCCACGCCACTTTTAAATCATGAATACCACCTGAAAATTTATGCACAAGATAAACAATTATCCCCATAAACTTGTTGCATCATTTTAACTGTTTCAGTGGCGCTTTTTCTGAGTTTTAAAAAGAATTTAATGTTAGCTTTTTGCTCTGTGATGATTATGTAACAATGCACCTCTGACTAGGTCAACAAAATGGAGGCTTGTTTGTTGTCTGCTTATCAAGCGGCTATGAAAAGTTGCCAGATCATAGATGAATGTTGCCTCTTTAGATTCCATGCTTTGCTTCATAGATGACATTTTTGTCTTGGCCATAATAAAATCAGTCTCATTACTTAATTGTCGGACCTTGTGGATTAAGATAATGGCACAATGCCTGTTGTCCCAATATTGGTGGTGCAATTATGTGATTAAAATTGATCACGTGTGCAACTGCTGATCTGTTGGTGACTTCTGCTACCTTCCATGAACTTAACTGCATTTCTAATGTCGGACTGTTTGTGTTCGCACTTCAGATGGCTACCGTATGTTTTTAATGCATGTTTATGCTAGTGCATATGCTGAGACAGCAGTCTGTCAATCTTTCTACAAGGGACTGTGATAAACATTCTGTGTGTTTTTCGTTGGCACAGGAGCAGAGCAACTATGGGGTGACCCGTTAGCTATAAAGCTGAAACTAAGATTACCAGATTACATGCCATATGGTAATTAAGTGGCTCTTTATTATCTGTTTAACAGAACTGTTTGAATATCATTAGCTACAACAAATTTGCTGCTAATCAAAATGAAACCTTGTTTTGGTTTGCAGTGGAAATCATGTTTGCCTCACCTGGCAGAGTTGGATTTTCAGGTGAAGGATGCAGAGCGTCATGCAAAAGATGAATCAGAGGTAAGAGCAAGAGGTGCTTAGAGTGTATGTGGCAATTTGTAAACACTTCTGACCTTCAGCAAGGTTATGATGCCATTTGCAGTCTGATCACTGGCCATCTTCACAACAAAGGGCGGCAACAGTTTATTGGCTCACTTGTTCATTCTTTTAAGAAAGACAAAATTAAAAATTTAGACCATTAGTAAGTGATTGTAGTTTTGAATTATTTTAGTTGTTTACCATGTTTCTAATCCATACTGCATTTGAGGAAAAGGCTGGAACAAGGCTGTGCCTGAATTACAGTGAAAGACAAAGAATGAAGTGGTTTCACTATCGAGTAAGAATGTAGCCAGACTAAACTGTAAATGAGACCTTCAACAGTTGAACATGTGGGTGGAAGGCCAAGGAAGAAAGAGATGGATAGATGGTGCAACAACCCAAAATAAAAAACACAACAACAGCGCATCACTCAAGGAACTTGAGGAGCACAAGACGAATACAGAAAACTATGACAGTGGATTACCACCTGGTGTGATAGTGACAGAAGAAGACGATTTTAATACTAGGAACCAGTAACAAACTCAGGCACAGCTCGACCCATCTACACACAAGGTAACCATTTATTAATCTTTGGTCAGGCTGGTCCACGTTGCTCAAGGTTACAGGGGTGTCCTAGTGTACTGCTGTAGACTGCATTCTCTCGTGGGAGACATATACCCAGCATTAGATATAAATACTATAAGTTTGAGACTGTATTTAATATCTGTTGATTTTACAGCTGCAACAGGCTTCCTGAAAACAGTCTTTTGCTGTTATGTAAAGAAGAGTCAGGTTCTATTTCAATTCCCTGAGTCTTAGTGAATATACAGCATTAGCTACATACACTCATCCAAACATGATAAGTGATGTGGCCGACCGCTTTTACTTTTGAAGATATTTTCTAGTGGCCATTCTAGCCTGGGTTGACTTAGGTAAGTGCCAAGATATATTCAAAAAATGTGTCACGGTGTGGATTCAAACATTACCATTGGGACGACATCCAAAAGTGCTAGCTGCCACAACCCAGTTTGCTATGAAGGAACGGTCTCAAATCCTTTTTGTAGTCAATGGTAAATCTTTTTATGTCATCTTCCAAGGTCACACAAATGAAACTGTACAAGCTGTGTAGGTCAGTTGATGTCGACAGGAAGTGACATATTGAGGTCAGCAAAGGCCAAAGGTCAAGCCGTATAGAAATGAGTGCAATTTGCACAAAGCAAATAAAAATACATGTATGTAGTGCTGTTTAAAATGTTTTATATGCAGTACCAACACCCTTTTAAGACATTATTTGTCAGCGCTACTGTAATAGACAATTTGTGGTGACTACTGGTACCTTTTTTATGGATACTTTGCGCTGAGTACCAGCACCTTTTTTCTAGAAGAAAAAACCTGCACACCTGCGAGTCCTCGCCAGTGCAGAAAAGTTCATGCGCTGACTAAAATGTTTTTCTGATCTAAACCAAGAGCTCAGAGTCCTTATGGGCTGACATAGACCAGTGTTTCATTTTTTGGAACAATTTTTTCCATACAGAATGTTGGAGCACAACATCAGTACCTGAAATATGACACGTTTTCTCAGAATCTGAAAGGTAATTGTCCTTGTGTCTTTTCAAGGTCACATTTTTGTATTAATTTTGTGTGTGCTGTTTTCTTGTCTTGTTTTGTCACACCGATGGACACATACAAATGGGAGCTGAAGTACTCTAGTGGCTAACACACTTGCCTGCTAATTAAAACTTGGATCCTTTTTCATCTTCTCAGCATTCAGTGGCTGTAAACTTTGGCGAAAAGTTATGGTTTTTGGTCCACAACTTTGGCAAAAGGTTCTGGTTTTTGGTCCACAACTTTGGCGAAAGGTTCTGGTTTTTGGTCCACTCTTGGACCTTCGCTTTTATCCAAGAACTTGAGTTTTGTGTACACATCCTTTTACAGATCTGTCTTTTTTCCTTGCTTCTCCGGCAGATGCACTCTGACTTTGAAGTAAACATCCCTAATTAGTCACTTGCTACGATATACTGGGTCTATCCTTTTTTTAAATTTCCGAAAATGGAGCCCCAGAACCCACACAGAGAGTAATCCGTATCAACATGGACTTTTAAACTTGACATAGGTTGACCCAGCCTAAAATGGAGTTCTTGGAATAAAATTAATTGGTGTGATGTTGACTACATCAACCATTGGTAGCTGATTGGTTGATACAAATGTGGGTGTAGCACTGTATACCTAATGTGTCTCAATGGTGTGAAAGTCGGTCACCTTCTTCTTCTTTGTGTTCACCAGCTGTAAACTCTGGCGGAAAGTTCTGGTTGTTCATCCACTTTTGGACTGCAGTCCTGTTCCAGAACCTGAGTGTTGCGTGTGCATCCGTTTTACAGATCTGACTCATTTGTATGCAGACTGCTGGTTCCTTGCCTCTCAGGCAGATGCACTCTGACTTCGAAGGGAAGCTCCTAATTAGTTGACTCTTACGACATGCTTTTGGGTAGGCAGAGGGTGTGTTCTTGTTTTCCCTATAATAGGGCTCCAGAACCCACACAGGAAAGTAGTAGGTCACTAAAAGGATACATCAGAAGCTCGCCTGTTGACCCTAAGGTCTTGTGTTCAAATCTGCATAGGGATAGATTTGTTCAAAAATGACTTTGACTTCCTGTTCAACCCAACCTAAAATTGGGAAAAAAAAATCGGGGTTGGGGGGGGGGGGGGGGGGGGGGGGGGGGGGGTTGGTGTTATTTGAAGAAAAAGGAGGAAAAGAAGAAATTAAAATGGCAACATCAAGAAACTGACATGACAAAATTAATATACACTTATTCAACAGGCAGAAGATGAGAAAGATGACGGGTTTTGGGTACTAATGTTCCGTCGATACACCGGGCAAGGGTTTTGTTATTGTATGTTTAAATGGGTGCCCTGGGAAGTAACAGCAGCCAGAATCATGTTGTCCATTGATGGCTGATTGGTCTGTAGAAATACAATTCTAGAATTGTATGCCTGATGTACCGCTTGTGTAAAAAGGTATCTTCATTTACTAAAGGATTTAGACATGGAAAAAGAATGGTCAACAGAGAGTAACTATATCTCTAAAGTGAAGAGAGAGAGAGAGAGAAAGACAGAGGCAGTTCTGTCAATAACAAAAATGTATTTTTTTTTTCAATTCATTTCTTTAGGTGATGTTCTGAGTCTTATGTGTGTGTGTAAGTTATATTAATTTTTAACTCAAGTTTTAAATTATTTTGTAACTTTATAGTTTTATATTATTTTTTTAACTTAACTTAGATTAATTTTTAACTTACAAAATCAAAAACAGGCTCAGCACTTCTTCCGGTGACAAGTTTAGCCAATGAAATTGTCGACTCCAGCATAAGGATGCATGACAGTTTCTGTAGTATGCCAGATTTACAGGAAATCACATACAGGTAGGTGGCCAGATTGTTTTAATTCACTGGATTTTTTATTTTAGTGCTCTTCTGAAAACTGCATAATTGATTCTGTAGGACTGTTTTATTCTTTTTATTCTGTGCAGAAAAGTTACATTCACTGGGATTTGCCCCAACCAAAGGATTGGTTTTTGCAGTTTCTTGGGATGATAGGATTAATTAATGTTTGTAGTTCCTTTTTTTTTTTTTTTCAAAGTTTATTCTGCAAGATGTGGTAATTAGGCCTGTCCACACCATTCTGTCTCATTCAGTGTGTAGAAAAATCATGTTTTAGTGAAAAACATAAGGAACTATGCCAGTAAAAAACTAATGAGTTTCTCAACCAAATATTTTCTTCTTCAGATCACATTCAGCTTGTTGCTATGGCCAGCGAATGGTCAACACTGAGACTTACTTCCAGATTGGCCTGCCTCGGATGTCGGCAGGAATATGTCCTCCGAATGACAAGACATTCTGTCTGGATCAGATGGCAGAGAAGATTTTACAAAATGACAAGTAATTTTCCAGAGGGAGATATGTCAAAATAAACCAAGAGTTTGATATGTCGTAGACCAGGTTACCTGTGAAATGCACTATCTCCTTAAGGTCGCTCATAACACTAGAAGAGACAGAGTTATGAATACCAGCATTAGAGAGAAAGTTAGAATAAGTCCGTGTCTGAATTATATTGACAGACAAAGAATGAATCGGTTCAGCCATCTAGTGAGAATGCGGCCAAACTAAGCTGCATATGAGATCTTTAATGACAGAACATCTGGAAGGAAGACAAGGGGAAGACTAAGAAAGAGACAGGTAAGTTATGTATCAGAAACCTGCAAAAAGATGAACAAATCCAAAACCCAAGCCACCCGAGAAGCACAAGACAAATACAGAAAACCATGACCCTTGGCTACAGACTGGTATCAGTGAGACGACAAAAGAAGAAGAAGATGGACCAAATTAAACCGGTGACAGAATTCTTACAGAGATTAACTTGCAGTGGTGCACTGCATAACATGTCATTCAGTGACAGAGTGCATCTGTGATGGTCTCATAAGAGTATACGTTTTATACCAAATTTTTACCATACGTTTGTTATATTTATATGTTTTCAATACATAAGTACTAACTATTTGGGTAGAGCTGTCTACTGTATCAATATTTAATATGTCATATAGCATTATTACTCATGAATGGGTTCCAGGCTTCATTTTAGGAGAGAGAAAAAGAATAGACCAACAGCAGCCCCCCCCCCCCCCCCCCCACCCCCCAAGCTTGTCATAAAAGGTGCCCAAACAGGGGTGTTTCAATGGAAGTTGGAGTGCATCTGCCTGAGAGTCGAGGAACCAACAGTCCACATAGAAATAAGCCATATCTGTATAACGGATCTGCATGCAGAACTCACAGTCTAGAACAAAGACCAAGGTCCAGAAGAGGACGAACAACCAGAACTTGCTGCAAAAATGTGCAGCCAGTAAACACTAAGGCGAAAAAGAGTTATTATGGTTTGTCCATAGACTCGATAAAGAGATACAGGCTAGAGTTCAAAAAGCCAATGCAGTCAACTACCAACTGGCCCCACTTCTTCGTCATCCAAAGATCTCGTTACCAGCCAAACAACGGATGATCAACAGCATTTTCATCCCTACGTTATGTTATCAGTGCCAAACGTGGACAATGAACAAATCACATATGCAAAAAATAACTACGTGTGAAATGCGATGTCTCCGAAGAGTCACCAACAATACACGAAGAGACAGAGTCACAAACGTCAGCATTAGAGACAAAGTTGGAACAAGAGCATGCATGGAACATATTGAAAGACAGAGAATGAAGTGGTTTGGCCATTTAGTAAGAATGCAACCGGATCAGATTGCCTATAAGGCCTTTTACAGTAGAACATCGGGAAGAAAGGCCAGAGGAAGACCCAGGAAAAAATGGATAGATGGAGTAGCTGAATACGGCCAGAAGATCCAGAAAACTGTCACTCAGATCACGCGAGAGGCACAAAACAAATATTTTAAACCACGACACTGGGCTGCAACCCGGTAAAAGTGAAGAAGACAATAGATTGTTTGTCCATTGACAGAGATGAAGATAACTTGTCATCCAGTGAGATTCAGTGATTAAATGAACCTGGACAGTTTTTAGATGGTTTGTAGGGAAGATGGCAAATACGCAAGAGGAGGGGTTTGACACACTAATGTTTCTGGCTTGTCCTCATTTTGTTCTACGAGTGTAATCTCTGCTGCTTCATGAGTTGCTGCACAATGACAGAGCATACCCCAGATAATTATCAATCTTTCATTGAAGAAAGGGCAACTTAAGTTAATAACAAGAAATTAATCTTCAGAAATGTTACTAAGAAGATAAACAGGGGAGGGGGGGGGGGGTATGGAGCAATGTATACACACACTAAGCCTTTCTAACCATAAACCAAACAACAACAAAAAGGGGTTGTAGCTTATTACCATCTGTCATTGTTATTGCAGAGTTTGTCAGTGAAAAAATAAAAAAAATCATTTCAAAGTGGATGAAGCATTTTCAAGTGAATAAAAAAAAGTACTTCCAAGTGGATGAATATTCTCTTGCACTTATATGTATGTTAACATGACTGCACGTGTTCATGAGTTTCTGTACAGTGTTACTTTTGCTCATTGATATTACTGTATATCTGTAATGCTCATATGCTAGTTCAACATATTATTGTTTTATCTTATAATTACTGTACAGTGTTTTGTGGACATTTATTATGTTATTTTCTTATGTCCAGTGAATCAAAAGGTGAAGAGCTAGTGCACTCACACAAGCTTTTAGTCTAGTGCACACATACAAGCTGTCAGTCTAGTGCACTCATACAAGCTGTCAGTCTAGTGCACTCATACAAGCTGTCAGTCCAGTGCACTTATAAATGCTGTCAGTCTGGTGCACTCATACAAGCTGTCAGTCTAGTACACTCATACAAGCTGTCAGTCCAGTGCACTCATACAAGCTGTCAGTCTAGTACACTCATACAAGCTGTCAGTCCAGTGCACTCATACAAGCTGTCAGTCTAGTTCACTCATACAAGCTGTCAGTCTAGTGCACTTATACAAGCTGTCAGTCTGGTGCACTCATACAAGCTGTCAGTCTAGTGCACTCATACAAGCTGTCAGTCTGGTGCACTTATAAACACTGTCTGTTTAGTGCACTCATACAAGCTGTCAGTCTAGTGCACTCATACAAGATGTCAGTCTAGTGCACTCATACAAGCTGCCAGTCTAGTGCACTCATACAAGCTGCCAGTCTAGTGCACTCATACAAGCTGTAAGTCTAGTGCGCTCATACAAGCTGTAAGTCCAGTGCACTCATACAAGCTGTCAGTCCAGTGCACTCATACAAGCTGTCAGTCTAGTACACTCATACAAGCTGTCAGTCCAGTGCACTCATACAAGCTGTCAGTCTAGTTCACTCATACAAGCTGTCAGTCTAGTGCACTTATACAAGCTGTCAGTCTGGTGCACTCATACAAGCTGTCAGTCTAGTGCACTCATACAAGCTGTCAGTCTGGTGCACTTATACAACACTGTCTGTTTAGTGCACTCATACAAGCTGTCAGTCTAGTGCACTCATACAAGATGTCAGTCTAGTGCACTCATACAAGCTGCCAGTCTAGTGCACTCATACAAGCTGCCAGTCTAGTGCACTCACACAAGCTGTCAGTCTAGTGCGCTCATACAAGCTGTAAGTCTAGTGCGCTCATACAAGCTGTAAGTCTAGTGCGCTCATACAAGCTGTCAGTCTAGTACACTCATACAAGCTGTCAGTCCAGTGCACTCATACAAGCTGTCAGTCTAGTTCACTCATACAAGCTGTCAGTCTAGTGCACTTATACAAGCTGTCAGTCTGGTGCACTCATACAAGCTGTCAGTCTAGTGCACTCATACAAGCTGTCAGTCTGGTGCACTTATAAAACACTGTCTGTTTAGTGCACTCATACAAGCTGTCAGTCTAGTGCACTCATACAAGATGTCAGTCTAGTGCACTCATACAAGCTGCCAGTCTAGTGCGCTCATACAAGCTGTAAGTCTAGTGCGCTCATACAAGCTGTAAGTCTAGTGTGCTCATACAAGCTGCCAGTCTAGTGCACTCATACAAGCTGTAAGTCTAGTGCGCTCATACAAGCTGTAAGTTTTATGCACTCATACAAGCTGTCCATCTAGTACACTCATACAAGCTGTAAGTCTAGTGCACTCATACAAACTGTCAGTCTAGTGCACTTATACAAGCTGTCAGTCTAGTGCACACATACAAGCTGTCAGTCTGGTGCGCTCATACAAGCTGTCAGTCTAGTGCACTTATACAAGCTGTCAGTCTGGTGCACTCATACAAGCTGTCAGTCTAGTGCACTCATACAAGCTGTCAGTCTGGTGCACTTATACAAGCTGTCTGTTTAGTGCACTCATACAAGCTGTCAGTCTAGTACACTCATACAAGCTGTCAGTCCAGTGCACTCATACAAGCTGTCAGTCTAGTACACTCATACAAGCTGTCAGTCCAGTGCACTCATACAAGCTGTCAGTCTAGTTCACTCATACAAGCTGTCAGTCTAGTGCACTTATACAAGCTGTCAGTCTGGTGCACTCATACAAGCTGTCAGTCTAGTGCACTCATACAAGCTGTCAGTCTGGTGCACTTATAAACACTGTCTGTTTAGTGCACTCATACAAGCTGTCAGTCTAGTGCACTCATACAAGATGTCAGTCTAGTGCACTCATACAAGCTGCCAGTCTAGTGCACTCATACAAGCTGCCAGTCTAGTGCACTCATACAAGCTGTAAGTCTAGTGCGCTCATACAAGCTGTAAGTCCAGTGCACTCATACAAGCTGTCAGTCCAGTGCACTCATACAAGCTGTCAGTCTAGTACACTCATACAAGCTGTCAGTCCAGTGCACTCATACAAGCTGTCAGTCTAGTTCACTCATACAAGCTGTCAGTCTAGTGCACTTATACAAGCTGTCAGTCTGGTGCACTCATACAAGCTGTCAGTCTAGTGCACTCATACAAGCTGTCAGTCTGGTGCACTTATAAACACTGTCTGTTTAGTGCACTCATACAAGCTGTCAGTCTAGTGCACTCATACAAGATGTCAGTCTAGTGCACTCATACAAGCTGCCAGTCTAGTGCACTCATACAAGCTGCCAGTCTAGTGCACTCACACAAGCTGTCAGTCTAGTGCGCTCATACAAGCTGTAAGTCTAGTGCGCTCATACAAGCTGTAAGTCTAGTGCGCTCATACAAGCTGTCAGTCTAGTACACTCATACAAGCTGTCAGTCCAGTGCACTCATACAAGCTGTCAGTCTAGTTCACTCATACAAGCTGTCAGTCTAGTGCACTTATACAAGCTGTCAGTCTGGTGCACTCATACAAGCTGTCAGTCTAGTGCACTCATACAAGCTGTCAGTCTGGTGCACTTATAAACACTGTCTGTTTAGTGCACTCATACAAGCTGTCAGTCTAGTGCACTCATACAAGATGT